CCAAACTCACTGGGAAAGACAAGCTGAGTTATCATTTAGCCAAGAAAACCTGAGAGGCATTTATGTGCATGAAGTACAGCACAGCCATCCGACACGGAGACGGGCTTGAAAGAAACACATTACACCGTGCACGCAAATCCCCTCGCTGCGACGGCGACTGGAGCCGAATGAATGGTCTGGGCGATGAAGAGCTGTGGTCTAGAATGCTTATCTTCTCCCCAGCCCCCAGCCCAACCCTCAAAGATTACGCACGCAATCGTTTGTGACAGATTGCTCCCCAGTCTTCCGCCTTAAATTCTATATGATAAATTCAACACGAAGTGACAGTCACAGCGAGCGTTCGGAGCCGAATCTAAAAAAAACTAATTTTACTGAAGTTAGAACTCAATGAACGAGAAAATGTGAATGTACACCTAGGGCATATCTCAAAACTTTAATCTCTATGAATGCCATAATGGTTATTTATGGCCGGGATGATATTAATATTTTAAAACATTTCAATAAAGAAGCGCCATGAGACTTTTAAATTGTATTGTTATGCAAAGAGAGTAATATTTCAATGGGTTCCTCTCTGTGCTGGTGTGTTAGTGGAGCAAGGAAAAGAAAAACGGCGGCTTTCGTTACGTAAGCATGGGCCACATTGTAAGACGGTCCTGCGTTTAATTTCTGAGAAATAGCTCTTCCTCCTTTTTTTATTTGGGGTTAAAAAATTTTCTTGCACTGCTGTTGTCTGTTTAAATTAGGTAAATGCAATTAAGATGAGTCAAATACACACAGTCTCCAATGATGGGTAAAATTAAGGTCACCAGTTGCAGCCCTAATCCAGCTGCATTGCTTAATCTCAGCTTTAGCCATTACCAGTGAGCAGGATGGTGATATCTTGCTAGTGTTGGGGTTAATGTAGACTGACTGGGTAACTAGAGATAAATCCTGCAGGCTTCCTTGAATGTGCAAGTGCTTAACACTGACATTGTGGAAAAAAAGGAGAAATTGGGTTCCAATCCCCAGGACCACTTCAGAGTCCTTTCCTTGGTTCGCTCTCAACCAAAGTATGGAAGCAGAGCAAGTTTCCTCTTGTTAATTTTTAATTCTGTCCTTCAATCCTTTTAAAACAAAGGCACTTAGCTTCCTTTTCAGATACCTAACTGCTTACATTTGTGTGGCCTGATACTACGTGACTTTGTGAAGGAGTTGCGTCAGGTAGCCCCAGCTATGAAGAAAACATTACTGCATATGGAAAAAAAAAAAAAGGGGGGGTTGACATTTACAGCCAGGAGAGAGGCACGAAATTGCAAAGGTCATCAATGAGTAAACAGATATTAATGGTTAGCTGGATAACTGGTACATAAACAGGTCACATTAATAATTAACACCAGGAAAAACTTAGCACTTTCCACCAAGCTCAGGAAAGTAGGTGCCAAGGAAACCCCCCAGAAGAGGATGAGAAAAACCTGGGGGTGCTTTCTAGTTGCTAGAGAATGAAAAATTACTGTTCCATTTTTACATTTCTCATAGTCCCACCAAAAAAAACATTCTGAGATGGTCATAGAAATAAGCAAGATAAGGCTGAAAAACTTCTGGGTAACCATTTATTCGCAAAGTTATACATAGCCTAACACCAAATGTTCTCTAGCTTTTCTTCCAAGGCAGCGTGTAAAATGGCTCAGGAAATCTACTTTATCCCTAGCCTACAAGATCTCTGTAAAAGTATTGTCTCTGTCACTTAGTTATCATGCCTGTGTGTTATATTAAAACTCTCGTGCTGAGAAGGTTAAGTTTTGCAGGGCCTGATTGGCATTTACCCTCATTTTTTTTTTTTTAAAGATGTTTTAAAGAGGAGTTTTAGGTTCACAATAAATTTGAGAGCAAGGTATAGAGATTTCCATCTACCTGTGGTACACTTATTACAACAGATGTACTGACACGGACACCATCATAACCTCCTGAAGTCCATACTTTACATGAGTGCCCACGCTTGCTGGCGAACATCCTGTGCGTTTGAGCAAACACGTAATGACATGCATTGATCGTTAGGGTCTCCAACAGAGTATTTTCACTGCCCTAAAAATTCTCTGTGCTCTGGCCTTGCATCCACTTTTCC